GTTGTCGGCGCCCACCCTGGTTCAAGGAGGTAGGTGATGACAGCGCTGAGGGGGCCCCTGATGTGCCGACGACGTTGACCTTCATCTAAAACCGAGTGTTTCTCGACTGTTGACTGCCAAACATTGCGGATAGCTGGCGGCATATGTCGGCCCTCATGGGCCGACAGCCGAAACCATAATTGTAAGCACTCTGCTGGCATCTTGACTCCAGGGTCCTCGCCTAAACATTTCAAGGCAAGCAGCGTGGTCAAGCATCGGCCTGACGACTGGGAAGCCGAGACCGCTCCCAACCTGGTTCTGAACATGTGCAACTGTCGCCCGAAGGTTCCATGCAATTGGTGAGCATAAGGCCCTGCCGCGCACGATCCGTGTTTTTTTCCAGGCGTGCCATTGTTTTGCAACGTCTGGATGCGACAACAACTGTTTTTATAGTTTTATGCATTGCCCCTGATTTGTCCATCCGTTTGGTTCGAACAGCTCTTCCATGACGTTTACCCCCGGACAGATCTGCCCCCAAGTAGGCCACCTGACTTTGCGCTTCCTATGGAAATCCTGCTTGTCGAACCCGGTTGGCAACATATCCTGCGTCTTCCATGTGAGCGCACAAGACCGCACTTTTACACGCAACTTTGAGCTTTTGCTTTTGCAAACTCCCACTCGTTGCTACCAATACTTCAGCCAATTGCTTTCTGATCATTGCACGGGATCCTTTTGTGCTTTGGCTGAGATCGTAGATCCATATTCTATGTGAAAAGTACGGGTGTGCAGCAGTTATTCTTTGCAACACAGAATGAACCATCGCCCTCGCAAGTCTCGTTCCTCCCCTTAATCCCTGCGCCACTGACTGGGCAAGGCAAAATAGGAAGGAAAACGCTCCCGCTTGGCGGAGAGTGCGAGGCGCTGCACAGCTGAGCAATTCTAAATAAAGGATCTGTGCTGGAAATCCCAGTTTCAAAGCACATCTGATTAATCTGGGCCATGTTATTGTATCGTAGAATCCTTTGATGTCCATTAATCCATTACCATGTGGTGGATTGAGGAGTCCTGCAAGCTCCTCGTCCGTCACTCGTACGCAGGCTTCGCGCAGGGCCGCGTTCCCTTCCACTGCCGCGTCCCACCCTGGGGCGGTGGAACGCGGCCATTCGGTCACTTGTGGGCCCCTAGCTTGGGACCGCACACGGCTGAACATCGACATGAGTCCTATCACTCGAACTCCATTTCCACGATGCTTTGGCGTCATGTGCCCGATGACCAGCTGCGTTTGCACTGGCCAGCATAAGCGCTCTTCCACCGCCGCGTATATGTCCGACAACTCCTGCAGACTGGCATCGGGCTGCCTTTCCACATCGGTCGGAGATAATCTGTCCACTCCTTGTCCAATACTCGATCATTTGTGTGGCGCTCTTCTGATGTCATCGGGTTCTAGCCGCAGAAGCGGCTCAACTTGCGCTGCTGCCCTGGCCTCACCGAAAGCTATGTCCAAATCGTCATAGCTGAGAATCGGTGGGGCCCATATATCTTCCAATGTGTTTTACTTTGGCGTCGATCATATCTACTGGTGACGATACATATTCTCCACTTCATGTAAGAGTTTCCATTGGCGTGAAAGGCTGCTCCTTGATGGATCGGTGCAAACATCCAATCGCCTCTGGTGAATCAACCTATTTACGAAATTTCTCCATTGACGAGGCTAGAGCCTTTGCTTGACTGCGCTTTGCCATTCTCAAGGTAAGACTGCTTAGCTTCTTGACCACGCCATCCGACTGACTGCGGATGACGCGAACTACTCTCGCAACACTGTTGAAAGTAGGGGTCTGTTCTAGTTAGTACGTCTGCTGCTCTCTCTGGTATATCATTGACCAGCGTGCGGCAACACTCCAGCAGATGTTCCACTTGTTTGGCTCCGTTCTGGCGCTCACGATGTCTGGCCAAACCGGCTGTGATCGTGCTCAGCTGCGTCCACCAGTTGGCGACCTCGTCCTCGAACGGCTGCACGTTGCCGTTGTTGGCACTCTGCTTGACCGTCGATCTGCGGAAACTGGCGCACTCTGCTCGTCGTGCGCCAGGTGGGACCTGGCAAGAATGATGTGTGCACACAGTTTCTTCTAAGGCGGTGACCCACGCAGCGAAGTGGCCACTTATGTAGTCATGGCTGTTTGAGCCAAAACGGCTACTGACTGAGTTGAGAAAGTGAACAGGGGGCTGACATGCGCTGGATGGGATGAACCCAACATTATCATGGCATCTTTGCCACGTCTGCTCAGGGATGTGAAAGCTGTGGCGGTCCTCCTGGGGGCCGGCCTGGCTCGTTAAAGGGGGGGGGGGGGGGGGGGGGGGGGGGGGGGGGGGCCTTCGCAGCCCTGCTCCTGGGAAAACGTTCCCCTGGGCAATCAGGTCGTGCTCTGGCCATGCATCAAAATCCACCTCTACTTCAAACTGGAAGGGCTCCTCTCCCCCCCCATCCTCGTCAGGGGCTCTCTCACAGGGCTCGGCTGACGGGGCGGGTTCCAGGCGGCCCCCAAATAACTCAGAATACACCTCAGCTCTTTTGGCACGGGCGATTGCTCGCTTCATTTGCTGCTGCGTTCGGGCAAGAGCTGACTTCGACCCTGGAGTGGCTTTTTTACAAGGTCGGGGCTCTTGGGGCAACTTAGCGGGCAAGCTCAGGGTTCGCGTTTCTAGCAGCGCTCCTGCTGAGCACAATTCAATGGAAATTCCTGTATGCGGCTTCCAGGGGGCCGACAACACTGGCGTCGCGCTCTTTATCAGGCCTCGGGCTGACTGGCTGCAAACAAGGTAGTCTGGGCGCGCTGAAGGTGGCCTCTGGCGAGTATCCACCCACCCCCTTCATTTGACTTACTATTTCTGCATTGGCTAACTACTTTGTGGGATGCACGGGCTTTATTCGGCAACAGGCGAAGCTTGGCATTGCGGGCTCTACTCTCCCACTTGCGTAGATCACCTGCAGCGACATGCGTCTCCGCGATCCCAAAATATTGGTACTGCTTCTGCTTCGTCGATTCGATGATTCCCCAGCATTTGTCCCCCATGGCGGTCACGTTGGCGAAGAACAGCTCACTTGTTCCATCGTCTGGCGGAGAAGTCGGCCCTGGAGTCTGACCCACAGACTCAGGCGCCTCCGTAGACGTGCCATCGCCGAACTCTTGGTGAGCTAGTCACCTGCTGGGCCCCGTGGGACCCTTGCCACTGCCCATCGGGTTGGAGCGGTCGGCGCCCTTGCCTGTCGCCTTCATCGCGATCCTCTGGGCCTCGAACTTGGCCTCGGACAGCATCTGCGCCGTGGTCTGGATCTGCTCCTTGGTCTTCTGGTCAGCGTCGGCGTCGTCGACGACCATGGCGGTCGGCGCGGCTGCTGGCGCAGCCACCGAGATGCCCTCAGCCGCGCTGACGTCTACCTCGGGAGGGCGCGCGGAGTCAATGATTCCCTCGGTCCCTGGAGGACCGCCTCCCCTCGCGCCGTTGCCGCCTGGCACCTCCTGGTCGCCGCCGACCTCGTCAGACCTCGTCTTCTTCATCCTCTGCCTCATGGCCTCGCGCAGGCCGGATGATTCCTGCAGCCACTTCTCGACGTCCGCATTGTAGCCGTCGGCTCTGGCCGAGAACTGCTTCAGCTCCTCGTGGATTACTTTGAGCCTCTGCTTCTCGACCTCCTCGTACTCCGAGTCGTCGAGGTTCGTGAACATGGTCTCGTCCCTGGTCAACTTGAAGTTGGGGTTGCGTTTTGACTTGTCACCCTCATCATCGTCTTCCTAAGGGCGATTCCTGGATTCCCTCTAATTTGGCCATTAATGCCGTGGCCCTCTGCTTCATGATCGTAGCCTGAGCGAGTACTTGTGCTGCGGCGACCTCTTTAGTCTGAGCCGTCGCCAAGGCCCCTCTCAGGGGTACTCATTTGAAACGGTTTGCCCATGTTTGAAATCAGCGTCTTTCCAAGCGCCAACTGCTTTGCGAAGCGCCTCTGCCGCGCTCAAGGCCTCTGCCGTGCCTGGGTCGACCCCTGACCCAACGGCCTTCTTGAGTCGCAGCTGCTCCTGGAGAATATCCTTGAGCTGGGCGCCCGTGGCGCTCTTGATCGCGAGCTCAAGGCCCTCGATCTCCGTGAGCACCTTCGCCTTGTTGCCGCTCTGGGGATCTGTGTTGTTCTGGAACGGATCCTTGGGCTTGTGGAGCTTCACCTTCTTGTGGCACTTGCCGCACACGTACTTGGCTGCCACCAAGAGATGGTTCCACTCACATCGCCCGCAGCTCTTGCATTTTGTCCATCCCTGATTCTTGTCAACAGCTCCCGCCATTGCTCCGTAGCGTGGAGGAAATACGCAGACCAGCAGTGTGCCCAAAGCACCTCGCGCAGGTACTGGAGTCGGCTCCAGCAAAATGCTAGAGCCCAAATGGCTTGAGAGCGGATGAGGAGGCGGAGGAGGAGGAGGAGGAGGAGGAGGAGGAGGAGGAGGAGGAGGAGGAGAAGCTATCCCCGATGATGGAAGACGCCGAAGTGCACCAGAACACAGCCTCGGCGCTCGGGCGTCCGCGCGGACGGCGCCGCCAGGCCCCAGGGCTGCTGCTCGAGGAGAGAGAGCGCGTGCACAGACACGGACCTCTGGAGCTCCGCGCGGCTTGCGGCATCGGGCCGTCAGGCGCTGTGCGGATGACTGAAGGGGGACTGAGACACACAAATAAATAGACACAAATAACCAGATTCCCCAGAATTTCCAATATTTTCTTGGTTTTTGTCTCCGCCCCCACTTACCATATTTTCTTATATTTCCTGGGGGATCGACGATCAATTATGCCTGTGTGTTTTTTCCCCCTGAATAGCATCGTAAACGTAAACATTGAGCCCTCGGAGGTCCGCGCGCATCTCTCGGATCGGCGCTGGACCCCCCGGCGGCGCCTCCGTCGCCGCCACCTGCGCGCTCCGCGCGCCAAGCAGGGGGTCCACTGCCGATCCAGGAGTCCTTCTCTCCCCCCCCCCGCTCGTCCTCTGCGTGCAGGCCTTGATCAGCAGCCGCAGGTGAATGTTCATCGTGACCTGCACCCGCGCGCGTGGGGAGGTGGAAGAGAGAGGAGAATGAGGAGGAGGAGGAGGAGTAGGAGTAGGAGGAGGACCAGTGTAAACCCAAGAGTCATCAACGATGTTGAAATAAATCCTTCCTCCAAGCTCCTTATTCATTTGGCTCATACAACGGTTCATTTCGACTGAGGGAACTGCCTCGTTGGAAGGCAACCGCTTGAAGACCCTGAAGCATTCGAGGAAGGGGAGGAGGAGGAGGAGGAGGAGGAGGAGGAGGAGGAGGAGGAGGGGGAGGAGGAGGAGGAGAGGAGGGCGGGAGCCATCCGCCACGTCCTCTCGCCATCCGTTCCCATGCCTGCCCTGCGTGCACGTCGATGGGCCTTCTGTCGGCTGGCAAGGCATGCGCGGGCCGCCGTGGCGTTGCGTCCGACGCCTCACGCCTCTGCGCACCCGCGGCTGGCCCGGGAAGAGGGTTGGGAAGACGAGCAGGACGAGGAGGAGGAAGGAGGGAGGAGGAGGAGGAGGAGGAGACGGCGGAGGATAACGAGAGCGGGAGGAGGAGAAGGAGGAGGAGGAGGATTACCCCGGCAAAGCAACCTAACAGCGATGTGTAGGAACATATCTGGAAGCATTCCCCTTAAGATTCAGATGAGAATCCAGTTGTAGAATTCTGCTGTTCTCGCAGTCGTAATCGCATTCGCGATGACAGTCGCAGTGGCAACGGCAGTCGCAGTCACAGCCTCAGCCTCAGCCTGCCTCAGCCTCAGCCTCAGCCTGCCTCAGCCTCAGCCTCAGCCTCAGCCTGCCAGCCTCAGCCTCAGCCTGCTTCAGCCTCAGCCTCAGTCTGCCTTCAGCCTCGGCCTCAGCCTCAGCCTGCCTCAGCCTCAGCCTGCATCAGCCTCAGCCTCAGCCTCAGCCTGCCTCAGCATCAGCCTGCCTCAGCCTCAGCCTCAGCCTGCCTCAGCCTCAGCCTCAGTCTGCTTCAGCCTCAGCCTCAGTCTGCCTTCAGCCTCGGCCTCAGCCTCAGCCTGTCTCAGCCTCAGCCTGCCTCGGCTGCAGCATCAGTTTGCTTCAGCTTTGAAAATGTGGCCCAGGAATGGAGTTCTGGGAAATAGAAGAACACGAAGTGGCCTACAGTTGGCTCCGGGCATTCAAAATCATGCCCAGGAATGGAGTTCTGGGAACTTGAAGAGCACGAAGTGGCCTACAGTTGGCTCGGGCATTCAAAATGTGGCCCGGGAATGGAGTTCTGGGAACTCGAAGACCACGAAGTGGCCTACTGTTGGCTCCAGGCATCCAAAATGTGGCCCGGGAATGGAGTTCTGGGAAGTCGAAGAGCACGAAGTGGCCTACAGTTGGCTCCGGGCATCCAAAATGTGGCCCGGGAATGGAGTTCTGGGAAATCGAAGACCACGAAGTGGCCTACAGTTGGCTCCGGGCATCCAAAATGTGGCCCGGGAATGGAGTTCTGGGAAGTCGAAAAGCACGAAGTGGCCTACAGTTGGCTCCGGGCATTCAGAATGTGGCCCGGGAATGGAGTTCTGGGAGGTCGAAGAGCACGAAGTGTGTGACTGTTTGCGAAAAAAACGAATTCGGACACGAGTTCGGACACACCTCCCCGGATGCCGCCCAGACCCCCCTGTGGAATCATCTGCTGCTCTCTTTTGAGCCTATTATCCCGGCAAAGCAACCTAACAGCGATGTGTAGGAACATATCTGGAAGCATTCCCCTTAAGATTCAGATGAGAATCCAGTTGTAGAATTCTGCTGTTCTCGCAGTCGTAATCGCATTCGCGATGACAGTCGCAGCGGCAACGGCAGTCGCAGTCACAGCCTCAGCCTCAGCCTGCCTCAGCCTCAGCCTCAGCCTGCCTCAGCCTCAGCCTGCCTCAGCCTCAGCCTCAGCCTGCTTCAGCCTCAGCCTCAGTCTGCCTTCAGCCTCGGCCTCAGCCTCAGCCTGCCTCAGCCTCAGCCTGCATCAGCCTCAGCCTCAGCCTCAGCCTGCCTCAGCATCAGCCTGCCTCAGCCTCAGCCTCAGCCTGCCTCAGCCTCAGCCTCAGTCTGCCTCAGCCTCAGCCTCAGTCTGCCTTCAGCCTCGGCCTCAGCCTCAGCCTGTCTCAGCCTCAGCCTGCCTCGGCTGCAGCATCAGTTTGCTTCAGCATTGAAAATGTGGCCCAGGAATGGAGTTCTGGGAACTAGAAGAACACGAAGTGGCCTACAGTTGGCTCCGGGCATTCAAAATCATGCCCACGAATGGAGTTCTGGGAACACGAAGAGCACGAAGTGGCCTACAGTTGGCTCCGGGCATTCAAAATGTGGCCCGGGAGTGGTGTTCTGGGAAGTCCAAGAGCACGAAGTGGCCTACAGTTGGCTCCGGGCATCCAAAATGTGGCCCGGGAATGGAGTTCTGGGAATCGAAGAGCACGAAGTGGCCTACAGTTGGCTCCGGGCATTCAAAATGTGGCCCGGGAATGGAGTTCTGGGAAGTCGAAGAGCACGAAGTGGCCTACAGTTGGCTCCGGGCATTCAAAATGTGGCCCGGGAATGGAGTTCTGGGAAGTCGAAAAGCACGAAGTGGCCTACAGTTGGCTCCGGGCATTCAGAATGTGGCCCGGGAATGGAGTTCTGGGAGGTCGAAGAGCACGAAGTGTGTGACTGTTTGCGAAAAAACAAATTCGGACACGAGTTCGGACACACCTCCCCGGATGCCGCCCAGACCCCCCTGTGGAGTCATCTGCTGCTCTCTTTTGAGCCTACTAGAAACCTATCAGCAAACGCTGTTAGGTAAAAAGGGGAGGAGGAGGAGGAGGAGGAGGAGGAGGAGGAGGAGGAGGAGGAAGAGGAGCAGGAAGAGCATCCACACATCCCAGACCCCATGGGCACACCACAGAAGCAGAAGACCAGCGCATTCACGCCAAAAAACAACCTAGCAGACCCGTACTGAGGCACACACTACGGAGGACACGCCACACCAGCGCCGGCGTTACGACAGCCAGATCGCCACAGCGAAGCGGGCACGGCACAAGGCCCCGCCCATCGAGATACCAAAGTGCGGGATGGCACCATCACGTAGACGCACCCGCACGCCAATAGCCCGCACCACAACCAGCGAAGACTATCCAGCTACTCCACTTCAGAACGTCCGACTTCACCACCTGATGTCAAGGCGCCCCTGCACCAAGAGCAACGACTCCAGCAAAAACAGTACAGACGAGGAGGAGCAACACACCGCTGCTGAAACTACAGCAGAAGACCACCCGACCAGCAAGCGGGACGAGTGAAGCAACATGCAGCAGAGATAGACGGAGAGGGAAGACGAGGCCCACCAGCACGGCACTGACGCACGCCACGAGACACCGACGACGCCGAAAGAAGGCTGCTTCCCAACGATCTGCTTCTACCGCGCCACCACTGACCACCCAGGCGGCGCCATCAACGAGGTACGCAGGGCCTACAAGAGCCGGGCACCAGACCTGTGCACCAACAACGCGGACGTCGGCGTCGCAATCACTGAAGGGAAACTGGGACACACAAATAAATAGACACAAATAGCCAGATTCCACATATTTTCCTATATTTTCTTGGGTTTCTGTCTTGCCCCCCACTTCCCATATTTTCCCATATTTTCTGGGGAATCGACGATTAATTGTGTCTGTGCTTTTTCCCCTCTTGAATCACCAAGGGCGAGCACCTTCGCATCACCCGGGCCCGGCCCCCGAACCGAAGCAGACGCACCTGCCCCCCAGAGGAGCCTGGGCCTGGGGAGACCAGACCGATAACCCCACCACGCATCGGCCACGCGGACACGGAGAGGACCCAGCCTCAACGCAGCACCCCCTACCCTCCTCCCTCCTTCTCCTCCTCCTCCTCCTCCTCCTCCTCCTCCTCCTCCTCTCCTCTCTTCCTCCGTCCTCTTCCTCCTTTCTCCCTCCTCCCTCCTCCTCCTCCTCCTCCTCCTCCTTTCTCCCTCCTCCTCCTCCTCCTCCTCCTCCTCCTCCTCCTCCTCCTCCTCATATGCAGACCAGACCACCAAACCAGAATCGCCAGACCGGGCACGAGGCCTACAGTCGGACCCACGACAGAGGAGCACCCTTCAGGAGCACGAGGCCCTCCGCGGGCCGAGACACCCCAAACCATGAGATCACTCGGGGGTGCCCTCGCCGAGGTTGCACCATGAGATGCAAAACGCACGAAGAACACTGGGGCACCCTCCCCAAACTTATGCCTCGGCCCGACCGTACATCGGCATGATCACGGACTCTATCACGCACTGCAGGCCATGAATGTCAAGGGCCTGGATGCCCACAGAGAGGTGATCTACCAGCTCATCAGCCAGATCATCGCGCACGACAAGATCGCGGGGCGCCGCCCACCACTGGAAGCCACCGACCACAACCACGCAACGAGCAGCGGCTCCCACGACAGTCACCAGGACCAGCACCCAGCCCCACCAACACGAAGTCAACCAGAAGACAGTGCACCCACCAGCCGCCTACCCAGGCAGGGATGGATGGCAGAGAACAGCTACAAGCAGCAGCAGCGATCCCCGCCGAACGCGGCCAACTCCGATCCCCGCCCGCATGCTGAGCGCCAGACCCGTGGCACGGGCCCCCCCACACCTTGAGGAACACCAGCATCAGTGCCACCTCCTCTCTTGCGTCACACTCTGAGCAGCTGCAGCTGCCCATGCAACGCTCAGCTTCACCTCCACTCCTACCAGTGTTGCCCCGCACGACAGCACCTCACAATTGGCTACCACCTTTTCACCATCTCCGACCCCTCCACCTGACCCAACCTACCCACAGCTTGGACGCCCGAAATATCCGGGATAACTCGGGTCCGGGATAACTCGGGTCCGGACTCCCGAAAAACGGACCCGAGATAGCCCCGACCCGAGTTACCCCTGATGATTCGGGGCTCTGGACGCCCGAAATATCCGGGGCAACTCGGGTCCGGGATAACTCGGGTCCGGGTCCCCGAAAAACGGACCCGAGATAGCCCCGACCCGAGTTACCCCT